ACAAGGCCAAAGGATGCCAAACAGTGTGCTCAGTCCCAGGAGTCTGCAATCCTATGGAAGAAGAGATTGTGAACCACTTTCTGCAGATACTAGGAGGCAATTATTTGCTCAGTAGAAAAAAATGACTGTGAGGAACATGATTGATCTGATTTCACGATGTATTATTAGAGCATTTTTTTCAGTATGAAAACTGGAGGTAGCCAGAGAAAGGAATTGTTAGGGGACTCTGAACAAAAGAGGTGGAAATTCTTCACAAATAATAAATACTCAAACACACAATAAAGCCATTGGCACAGATGAATCTGAAAAGATACCAGATCCTGTTTGTCTCTTAGGATAGCTACATGCTGAGGCAGCAATAACACAGCAGGAGAGCTCTCCTGCTTTCACACCATATTTTTTTTAACTCGGCAAGCTTTAATGTTTTGATTTTCTCCCCTACTATTTCCTTGGCTATACTTTTTAAACCTTTCTTTACTGTTCTGTTGTTGTTATAACCCACTTAATCCAAATAATGCATGAATTAGAAAAATGAAAACATAAATATTCTTAGGTAGGCAAATGCTGAATACATCACATTTCACTAGCTCGCCTCTCTCTCTCTCTCTCTCTCTCTCTCCCTCCCTCCCTCCCTCCCTCCCTCTTTCCACCTCCAATTTGACACTTTCAGATGTATTGGAAATTCTTCCATAATTAGTAGCTATTATAATATTTGTGGGCTGAGTTTTGAATTATTACAGTTTCAACGCATCTGGAAAGTGCTTGGTTATGGAAAAATTATAGTGGAAGAAATATTAACACAAACCTGGCCATAGTAGAACAGGAGATTTGTCTCCATTTTTCTCAGATACAATTTACTTCTACTCTCAAAGGCAAACTGTTCTTGAAAACTGTCTCTTTCTTCTCATTCATAAAGTGTTTCAGGAGATTACAAACAGCAATACAATGCTGACCTATCCTTTGATGAGTTCTTTACCAGGTCTGTTTTTAAAGAGTTCTGGAACTGAAAAAATATGTAAATATGTCAGTTGGATTTCCATGTACTTTTCCATGTAAAGCACACAGTCTGATGTAAGAGTCTGAGAGTTCTAATTCAAGCTTCCATGGCTGCCTTGTTTTCTGAATTGGTACTTATGGAGAACAGCAGGTTTTTCAAGGACACAGCTCTTCCCAGAGAGGATTTGAGGATCTACACACTGTATTATATCCCTTGGCATTAGAAAATATTTCCTACAAAGTCATTTTTGCAGATATTTTAATTATTAAACTAGTGGCACTGGAAGCTGCTTGGAGGGAAGTAATGCAAACTTAAAGCACCCTGTGACTTTAAAAGACTCATCATAAAGAGCAAGATCCCTGCTGTACAAGCTATCATTATTTATTTATTAGGCTAATGACTGGCTAATGGCCTCAAAAGAACAAGGGAGAGAAAGGCTAAAGTGCTAGAGCAGCATGTATGGTCTTTTCCTCATGATCTTGCGAACTCTGGTCATAGCAACCTAAGTAATACCGTCAGTATTTTAGTCTGAATAACAGCATATAAAAAAGAAATGCATTGGCTTTCTGCTTTATGTGGAATTTTCTTCCTCCTGGACATTCATTAAAGCCAGAGGCTCTTTTCCATAAATCAGAAAGATGTTCTTATGGGTCTTTGTTTAATGATGGGTACTGCTGGCAGAAAAAGCTCTAATGTGTAATATTTCTCCCCACCATTAATTTGATTGTGTGTCTGAAACATATTTCCTAATACTATGGAGAGCCTCCAGTTATTTCTACATTGAAAACTGTTTTTAAAAATGAACTAGTAAACTTTCTATACTGAAGATATTGTACTGTATTGCGATGAACAGGGTAACTTCATATTTCATTCTTCGGTGACTGGAACAGGATCACAAGGACTACCCAGATAAAATACAGGGAAAAGAAACCAAGGTCTGTCATACTCCTAGATATACAAAACAATAATTCCTTTCCTGAACTGTTGAAATTTCACAGTGAAGGCCCTGTTTTCATGAATAGTTATGAGTTTTTATTTTTGCTAAAATCAAAGTACATATTCAACACAACTTACAACCACAATGCAGCCCAAAATTTATGCTGCTAAGTGAAACCGCTGTTAAGTGAGTTTTGCCCCAAAAAGGAAGGACTGAACCAATAGTAACACCGGTTGAATTCCACCCCTGATCTGAATGTAAATCACGTGACCATGGAGATGCTACAGTGGTCATAAGTGTGAAAAATGGGTCATAAGTCACTTTCCCAGTGATTTGTAACTTTGAACACTCACTAAATGAACTGTTGTAAGTCGAGAACTACCTGTATAATTTTAGCATGGGTGGAGGGGGAAAACAGAGCATACCTTCGGATGTTCCTGTGGTTGTAAGTGACACCTAATTGTTAATTTGCTCCAAAGAATACTCTCTGATTGACACTGCATATTTTCCTTTTGCTGATTGGGGGAGAACGAGGTAAGCTTCATTAAGCTCCTTTTACTTTAATAGGCAATTTAATGGTGAAGGAACACAGAGTATGAACTTCACATATTGCTGCAATTCAGTACTTTTTTTTAGAAATAGGAAAAAGAGTAAATAGGTCTGAGAGATGGGAGGAATTTATAACTCTCCTTTCATTCCTTTCTTATTTGAAAAACTATTGATTGATTGCTTATTGTACCCTATGATTATCATTAAGTGTCGTACCTTATGATTCTCAGCTCCTGATGAATGTATCTTTTCTTTTATGTACACTGAGAACATTTGCACCAAGACAAATTCCTTGTGTGTCCAACCACACTTGGCCAATAAAGTATTCTATTCTATTCTATTCTATTCTATTCTATTCTATTCTATTCTATTCTATTCTATTCTATTCTATTCCATTCCATTCCATTCCATTCCATTCCATTCCATTCTTATTCTATGGGCCAAAATAGCTTGCATTTTTTTTTTAGTACAACTGGGTCTGTTGAGATTGATGCAGCATATAATAGAGAGCCAGTCTGGAGTAAGAGGTTAAGGTGATGGTAGGGGACTGAGAAGATTTAGTTTTAAGCCTATCAACTATGGAAGTTCACAAAGGGTGATCAATAAGTGCCAGCTGTCCCCAGCTTTTCACCTTGGTGGCCCGCCCGGCATGGGGGAGGGGGCGTATGAGTGGCAGGTGCATGGCTCCTTTGGTGTGAGCAGCAGGCACACACGCCCTCCGTTTTGCATGTGAGTGGAGGGCACTGGTGCACAAAGCTCCACTTTCATGAGCAGAAGGAACATGAGCGGACAGTGCTTGTTCTCGCGTGTGAAGCTCCACTAGCACAAGCAGAGCTTCACACATGAGTACAAGCATCTTCCGCTCAAGCACCCTCCACTCAAATGAGTTGAGCCATTGCTCATGCAACCCAGTTTTAAAGTAGTGGGCCATGGCCCAGGGATTGGGGACCCCTGATCTATCTCAGTGATTGTTGTGGGGGGAAATGTCAATGTTGTGTACTGAACTTTGAGCTCCTGGAGGAAAAGTAGAACCGGGGTGGGATTCTACTGGTTCTGTCTGGCTCTATAGAACTGGTAGCTCTGAAAAGCAGCAGACATAGAACTGGTTCTATGTCTGCTGATGTTTTGGCCCACCGGGCCACCTGGGCTTTTACCTGACCTTTATTTCCTGCTTTTTCAACCGCAGCTGCTGTGCAAGGCACAGCTGCAGTTGAAAAAGCAGGAAGAAAGTGCCTTTTCAAACGCTGCTTCTCTGCACTCAGCACTGCTCAGCTGTCCAGGCAGCAAGCTGATGACGATTTACAGGTGCGCACATCGTAAATCACCAAACCTCGTAAATCACCAAACCGATAGTTAATCCCACCCCTGAGTAGAACACAAATCTAAGTGACAAATAATAAAGGGTATTTCTGCTGGAAAGGCAGCTAAGGAATTCAAGATTTTGTGCACCACAAGCAAAACTGCTAATGTAGATTTTTGAGGAACAGATTAGTAAATAATGTCCCTGGCTTCATGAGAAGACTTAATCACAAGGCAACTTCTTTGCACACAAACTGATCTTCAGATGATAATGTTACATTCCAGAAAAAATACTAGCAATGGAATATTTGTTGGGAATCTGACAGCTTACAGACATATCTTGTGGAAGAATCTTTTATACATAAATATTTTACAACTTAGCTACCAACTAGGAAATCAACTCTCATCAGTTCTTCTAATCTGAATCAAAGAAAACAAATTCCAAAAAGCAATTAAAACACAGATTATCTAAACATTATCCAAGGTAAACAGCTCTCTGCTTATAAATAATCAGCATCTCAATGACAAGCTTACATGCACAAGATTTCTGTGAGCAAGCAATGTTAGCAAAGAGAAGACTTTTAAAAATATACAAGCTTATATAGGTGTCTTCAGATTTTCATGAAATATATGTATTTTTTATTCTTTCCATGCCTAGGTTTTTTGCATTCAGTAAAATTGAAGTATATTGGTTTTTGGAAGCCTTGTTTATAACTCTTCTGAAACCTAGAGCTTATAATAAAGGACTCTTGTATAGTGCACCCTGGTCATCTTGGGTTTCAAAGATGTACATTCTTATCCAACATACATATCATGGAGCATTTTGTTATATGTTAAGATCATGGAACAAAGATTTTTTTGTAGTGACACTGCTATTTGCATTCGATCACTCCTTAGGTATTGAAAAAAAATCCAATTTGTTTATACTGTCATTTTGCTGATGTCCTTTATTTGATACTGTGTATTATTATCATTGATGTTTTAGAACTTTTAATGCTATTTTTTCTTGAGTGCCTTTAAAAAACAACAACCCACCCGTGGGTTTTGTTAATTGAGCATCCTACCTTCCCAGCCTTAGTTTTATAGTTTACCATCAGCGAATAAGAGTTTTAGCCACCTCCACAATATCATTGTTCAGATAAGGGCAGCCTGTAATCGGAAAACCTGTGAATGAAGCTTTATGTTCCCTCTCAACCTGCTACACTTTAGAGAACTTACCTGTGCTGCTGCTGCTGCACCTTTGCTGGTGATGCAGGGGTTTAAGATCACCACTGGAAACTCCTGCCCTTCGTTTTTCTGGGACTCCAGACATCTCTGTCTCTGCCGAATCATTCCTGTCTGGTACAGTGATTCTTCAGGAATTCTAAGAAAATAGATAAAATCTAAAGATTAACAATATATTAAATAATTAACAATATTCATTCTGCATGTGTAAGATGAATAGAGTGCATCATTGATTTTAGAAGAAAGGCCCAGAATAAGGGCTATCAGTTTTCACTTCTAGCAGGCAACTCTACATTACCGTTGCTGACAATATAAAAGAGCCAATGCAGTAAAGCAAATGATTGAGGAATTTGATCTAAAGAAAACTGACATCAGTGTCCTTTTCTGTTCCTTTTGGTCAATTTGATCAAACATTGCATAAAATATTTTAAAATAAACAAACATTCCCCAACAATTATCGTTATGAAATTTCATGGGTGATATTCCATTTACTTTGTTTTTTATTCCATTATGCTGTTTACTATCAACACATGCAATGGGCTCTTTAGAGGAGAGACAGGATAAAAATGTAACTCTGCTAGAAACAGTGGTTTTCAAACATATGTCAACTAATGATTTCAAAGTTGGGAAACTTTTAGAAAAGTATTTTGACATACAAAAATCTGAAGTGATAAGCCTGAATAATTGTATCAGTGCTGACATTTTAAGCTCTATCAGGAATGGTTTTTTAAAAAAACTTAAATTAGTAAAAATAAACCAATAAACTAGTAAAAAAAACCAACTAACTAGTTAAAATTAGTTAAATTGGTTTAAATAAATAAATTTATGATTAACTTTGAAAAGAAGAAAATCTAATACAGCAATAACCAATACAGGTTGTCCTCAACTTACAACACAATTGAACCCAAAGTTTATGTTGCTAAGTGAAACATTTGTTAAGTAGTTTTGCCCTGTTTAATGACTTTTCTTGACACTGTTGTTAAGGGAATTACTACCTGTAAAGCTTACTTCTAAGAAAATGTGCATAGTGGGTCAGACTCAAAGTCATCCTGAAAGGCAAGAATGAGTACATTTTTGTTTTCCAGTTGTTGTTGTAGTACTCCAATACTTATAATCCCTAGCTGATCTGGCTAAAATGAGGAATGATGAGAATTTACAATGTACCATTTGGAAGGACGTAGTACTCATACTAGCTGAAAAACAAAATGAAATTTGTAAAATTTCATTCATGAAGCAAGTAACATATACTAAACATATATTTTTTTAAAAAAATTAGTAGTACCTAAGCTCTGGATAGACATTTTCCAAATACCACTTGAATGTGTGACATTTCAAGGTCTTTCTCAGTTCCATTCTGCTTTGAATGCTATTAAAAAGAGCATATTGGAAAATATAGTTAGGGCAGTGCATCTGGCTATATCTTTAATGGGAGTCAAGTTTCAGTGGGTCAGAAAAAAATTAGATTCCATTATAAATGAATGGAATCACAAAATAGAAGAATAATGTAGAAGCCACCCTCCTCCACTCTCTTATTTCTCATGATAATCACACATTGCACTGAACCACCATTTTGTGTTAAGTTAAAATGTTGTGTGACCCCAGCCATTGTGGTTTCTATCACCAGTTTATGGCTTAGTGTTATGCATGAATCAAGATGCTTTGGTTTGCTCAGTAATGCAGTTAAAACAAATCCCAGCATAGCAGAATTAACACATGCAACACTGTATGTCTAATATTAACACATAAAGTAAAAGAAATAATCAACCTTAAAATAATGTTAAAATGCAATTAATGTAGTCCTAGCGTCTGTGTCATGAAAGATTAATAAGGCAAAATACAGCATGCAAGGTCTTTCCTTGTATGTCGTTCTAATTTTTATTCTTAGCATAAAAAGGATAGAAATATATTGACCCTTCTAGCTAAATATTTATGCAAATGGATTCAGCTAATGCACAGAAAGCTTCAACTTCTCCATTTCTTTCCTCAAAGAATGTAGTAAATTATTTTATGACCTAACTGCTTTACAGTTCAGAAAATTAACTAACTCTCTGGGAGTAGTAGTAGTACTACTTAAAACGATGCTGTGCTTACTTTAACATGTAACTGTACTGAATTTCCAAAAGAGTTAATCAAGGGCATTAATTAAACTCAGCTGGCAACCCCCAGCAATTAGTTAGCAATTAGCTGGTCTTATTTTTGGTCTTTTTGGTTTCCTTTTCCTCTGAATATCTGTGCTGGATGTACATAATCCTTGTTGACTGTCCTCCTCTCTGATGATATGAGGGTTTTTTTTAAGCTGTCTGATTAATTTTTATTTACTTGTTAGTCTTTTTTTTCTTTTGCCAACTTGAGTCCATCTCCGAATGCTATTAATATTCTGTATTTCTTAATTCTATAGCCCATTTCAATTTCTGTCCCTATGAGGGACACCATGTAAAAAAAAACCACAGAAAACCATATCTCATTCTTCTCTTAGCTATTTCCCAGGCTTGGGTTATCCGCTACAAGTAAAATTTGCAGGACTGGGAGATCACAGGATAGAACAATAGAAGGTATGTTACTTTCTCCATTTTGAAACAATCTGATTTGAAAACAACTGTATGATCAGAGTTCTTCTGAGGAGGCCCTTTCTACTATATTACCAATACATGAAAGTTTGCATTCCTGCACTTGGAAATAGGATTTCACCAGTTGTACCCCAGCTGTGAAATATCTTATACAGGAAGGTTAGATTGGCTCCAAGTAGAAAGAAACAATTTTTGATTAAATCTGGGCCTACATATATGGGTCGGATGATTGAGTAGCTGAAATTGAAGTAGACATGGACATAGGATTATATATTTTTATTACTGAAGCAGTTATGAGTCAGGACTGGAACCACAGGGAAATGGATTAATTTGTTCACTTTATGGTATGATAAAATTCCCACAAATGTTTTTAGCTTTGGCAATTTTCTCTAAGATAGCAGTGCTGCATGTATCTAACTGTGGCATATGTGACAGGAAGGCATGTTTGTGCACTTATATATTAACATAAATGAGAATCATCCATCTAATGAATGCTACACACATTGCTCCAAGTCCAGTCCTCAAATTTAGATGACATAAAGAAAATAAGCAAAAAAAAAAAACCACTGGCAAAGAAAGTGATGTGTTGGATTTAACTTTCCCCTTTAATATATAATCAGAGCAGATGGAAACACTTAGCTGACCTTGGTTGATCTCATAAAACCTAAGCAAAGTCAGTCCTAATACTTAGACAGGATGCCTTGAGGAAATCCTAGGGCGATAGACTGTACTGTAGATTGGGACAAAAAGGAAAAAGAAATCCTGAAAGAAAGCAAACACTAGTTTTGTACCGATGCCAAGAAACTGATGCATCCCTGTCTACATTTAAGCTCCACTCCAGGGAATCTTTACTGTTCTTTTTCTTCAGATATATAACTGGTGTTGTTATAACTGCTTGATCAGGGATATGTGCATAGCTAGCTGAACTGAAGTAATTACAATGTATAATGCATTATTACAAGTAATAGAAGAGATTTCATCTGACACAGAACAAAGGTCCCAGAATATTAGGCAGTAGCACAAACAAGATATACAGATGACCTTCACCTTCTCATCACCAGAGCAGATTATACAATTATAAAACAACCTAAAGCACTGGATAAAGGAGCAAGGAAAAGAAAAATGTGTGTGTGGGAGGAAAGGCAGGTGAAAACAGAATAAATTTCCTCACCAGTTCTGAGTCAATGTTAAAGTGTTAACTCAGTGCTGCTTTGGGAGCAAATAAGGAAGCAAGGATTCAGACTGTCTGGCTTATATATCATATTTTGTATGGGTTCAGGCTTTTTTTTTTCCTGGAGGAAGTTTTTGTTTGTTTGCTTCTGCTTTGGAATAGTGTTTATTCACAGGGCTAACTTATTAGTAAGGATAGCTGATTCTGCTGCTCCTGGACCAACTGGACAGCTATGAAAAGGAGAAATCACCTTGGAATTTATCTGAGACAATTTCAAACATGAGAAATGAGGAGGAGACAAACCCATTTATTTTCATTCATGAACAAATGGATATTTCAAATAGGCTTTTATATAAGCTCTTATTCCCCTTCACATCTCCACAAATAACAACTAGGACTTTATTATATCCTTGCAGCATCTGTTTACTATTAACATCTAATTAACTGTTCCCAGAGAAACAAAAAGCACACATCCCAACAGCTGGACGATGCTCCAATAAAACAATAATGAGGTTCTACCATATCAAGCAATTGAGTCTCTTTCCGTTTTCCTTCACTGCCAGAGGGGGCCACTTACTCTCCATATGGTCTCCCTTGAGCTGCAGGCCGAGCTGCGTAATAGTATTGCTTATATTCATCCATCCACACTTCCGCCGTGCGCTTAGTGTTTCTAAGGAAAGACATTTTAAAAAGAAAGGAGAAAGAAACGCTTGCATGAAAGAGTTTAAATTTGATGTTTCTCATTAAAAAAAAACAGCAAGGATAAGAGAGAAGGAAAGCAGCAGTTCATTTTTGTGAGAGAAATCTAGAGGGGGAAAAAAATGACCAGTGACAGATTTCAGTTCTTAAAGACTGTTTCACGTATTATATTTTCTCAGAGATACAATATGAACATATTTGCCCCGGAACTAACCAGAAACAGTAATTAACTATAGCTTCCATTATGTATAAACTGGAAAGTATAGTAACCCATGGCAAATACAGGTAGTCCTTGACTAACAATCACAATTGAGCCCAAAATTTCTGTTGTTAAGTGAGACATTTGTTAAGTGAGTTTTGCCCCATTTTATGACCTTTATGACACAGTTGTTAAGTGAATCACTGCAGTCGATCAATTAGTAACTCAATTGTTAAATGACTCTGACTTCCCCTTTGACTTTGCTTGTCAGAAGGTTGCAAAAAGTGATCACATGACCTTGGGACACAGCAACAGTCATAAGTACGAAGCAGTTCCCCAATACCTGAATTTTGATCACATGATCATGGGGGTGCTACAGTACAAAGATTGTAACTGTGAAAAATGGTCACTCTTTTTTAATGCCATTATAACTTTGAACAGTCACTCAATGAACTGTTGTAAGTTGAGGCCTACCATTCAGAAATGGTAAGTTAGATTTCTTGCACCTTCCTAGCTGGTTCCCCAGTTGTAATAAAGGAAAAGTGAAAACTTAGGAAATGGGATGTTTGCAGGTACTCCATGTACCTGCAAACATCCCATTTGCTAAGTTTTCACTTTCACTTGACCTGGATTCAGAACCAAAGAAATATTGCAAAGGTACCTGTAATATTTTTGGCATTCTGATGCCTTAACCTAGTTTGCCACAGTCAAACAGCATGTACAGATGTGAGGAATTACAAGCCTGAAATATCCATCTGTTTGACTGTGGCAACCTAGGTTAAGGCATCAGAATGCCAAAAATATTACAGGTACCTTTGCAATATTTCTTTGATTCTGAATCCAGGTTTATCAGACAGTAAATTAAGATTCATACAAAGGCAATGGATAATATTTTCATGGCGTATTTGATTGAAAAATCCTCAATCAAATTATATAATTTCTTTTCATATAGATAACTGTTAAACATATACCAGAAAAAAAATGATTTATTAAAAAGAAATGGGCCCATTTAAACTGATAGAAAAGGACTGCCTTACTGGTATTTATTAAAGGGCTGTACAATGATTTAGATCTGGTTTAGAACAGATTCTTTCAGATGTGTGGAAGTGTAAACTTGACATCTCTACTTTAATGGCAATCATTAAAGTAACTATATGTATTTCTAAGATTGATTAACTGCAGTAGAAGACTTCCATATAAAGGCCTGATAGAAAGCCTTAGTGCAATATAATGCAGGAAGGCTGTGTTTTGCATTTTATCAGCAGAAAGTAACACTAATTCAATTTTTTATTACAGTTTGTTCGGTATTTTGGCTGGATAATTTTCATGTTTTACACAGGCCTAAAAAAGGAATCTTCCAGGTTTCGGCAGAAAGCAGTATAATAAACAAACAGAACAATATTGTCATTCCACACACTCAAGCATTGCAAAAATGGTAGGTTTTTCAATTCATACATTAACAAATGAATATAATTGGTGGGTTTTTGTGAATCTCTCTCCCTATTCTTTAAGAATATCTAGAGTGTTGCTTTGCAAAAAGATTAGTGAATGATGTATGAATTTTGCACTTAGAAGCATAGGTATTGTTCCTCTGATGAGCAACCTTGACATACTTGAGTTAGTGTCTAGCAGCTAATAGAGATATATGAAGAAGTATATGTAATCCAATAGTTGGGGCTCTTAGATCTTCACTGGGATGATTTCATTATTCATTCTGTCTCCTGTTTGTTTCCCCCACCCCTCTTGCTCTCCAAGGTTCACCTTATTCATTTAAAGTTTGATCAAGGTCTATTCAGGTAGGCTACATTCCCTCTTCCCTTTGCAATTTCTTTTCATCTGCTCTACTGCTTTGATTAACTATCCATAAGCAGACTTGCAATCCCAAATATGAAGCTGATCAGAGAACTTGCTGAGTAGTGTAACTTCTAAAAAAAGAGAGAAAAACAACCCAATATCCATCTGTAGCTCCACTGTAGCAATGGAATGCTGCTGCTCAAAACGAATGCCATATATTTGCTCCATCTATAAAAACAAACAAGAAAGTTCGCAACTATACTTTGCACAAATGTCCTGGAATGTCCATACGACCTGGAGATGGGATTTCTATTACCTCATGCACCATTTTAATATTTTTGAAGAACCCCAAAACAACCAATATTGTTTTACCTACATTCAGCACCACAAGGTTCCAAAGTGAAATTAATGTGCATTTTCTTATGGCAGTTGCACTGCTGCAGAGATTATTTTACATGCACATGCCTGAATATTTGGGGCTCTTTTTAAACACAGTGACAGATTTTCCAGTAATCTGAGTGGAGAACCAACTCAGCAACTATCCCCTTTGACTCTATTGAGTGCCCTTAAATAGTTAAATTAGGTAATGAGCAATGGGATTTTTTTTTAAAGGTCCTATTATTAGGCCTGATGTCAATAGCAATGAGGTTAGACTTTTCCAGTACATGGCACGTGTTTACTTTCAACCTCTTTAGCACAAATCAAAGTGGCCATGATTAGAAAATATAGGACATGTCCACTGAGCACCATGACATTAGAAGAAATTCAGATATTCTATGGAGGAAGGAAATCCCTTTAGTGAGTCTGCCTACATCTCACTTTAAAGGTACCACTTAGACTGACCTCAGAACAGCCATCTGTATATAATGCACAATCATAATTTCATTGGCATTCTTAGCAAATACTTCAAAAATTAGATTCCACCAAATGCTGAGCACATCAACAGTACTCACATGTAGCCATGTTTTGAAGGCCTCACTGAGCGGGACAATTTTCATATTAAGAAAGTAGCATTGACACTCCCATTCTATTCTCCTCAATATATCATGCCGTTGGTGGAGACTGACTCTGAGTCAGAGGAGGAACAGCTGACAGGGAGTGGAAGTGTGGCTCTGGAGGTTGTGGAGGAGGCTGGGGAAAGGCAGAGGCTGGCTGGGCAGTCAGAGGAGGACCCAGGCCCATCCCTTCTCCATCCTAGGGAATTCAGGGAGGAGAGGATAAGGATCTGCTTATCCTGTGGTCTACTCAGGAGGAGAGGGCCTTGATCCTCTTCATGGGATGCAGCTGTGACAACTGAATAAGAGGATGGACATGCGTACAGGCGAACACTGGAAACAAAGCATAGAAATATCTCTAGTTTATGGTTCCTCTCTGAGTTTGGCATCCTTCCCAGTGTGTGTTTTGTTATCTGTGGATGTCCTCCAGCCCTTATCTTGTCTGGTTTGTGTTATATTTTCCATCTTTCTTGTAAGTGCTTGTGTAGGAGCTTTTTTGTCTTCCATGAAGGATATTTGGAGCTTGGAAGCAAAGTGAAGGAATAAAAGGGGCTTCACTGGGTTTTTGTGACTGTGTTTATTTTGTATCCCCAACCTGGGTCATCACACAATACTTCTACTTTTTAGAACTTCTGCTGTTCCCCTACAAACAATTTTTCAATTCTTCATTCTTCCTAATGTGCTAGTTAAACTACAGATAGTCCTCAACTTATGACCACAATGTGAGCCCACAATGTATGTTGTTAAGTGAGACAGTTGTTAAAAGAATTTTGCTCCATTCTATAACTTTCTATAACTTTCTTGCCATCATTGTTAAGTGAATCACTGCAGTTATTAAGTTAGTAATGTGGTTGTTAAGTGAATTTGGCTTCTCCATTGATTTTGCTCGTGAGGTTGCAAAATGTGTTTGTGTGACCAAGGACACTGTAACAGTCATAAATGTGAGTCAACTGCCAAGCGCCTAAACTTTGATCACATGACCACAGGGATGCTGCATAGGTCATAAGTGTGAAGTGGTCATAAGTAACTTTTCTCAGTGATGTAACTTTGAATGGTCACTATGATGACCCAGGGCGTGGCACAAAAGCAACACAGTCAAATAAGCAAGAAGTGTCCCTTTAATACCTCCAACATTACCCCCAATGCCCAGGTTACCTTCGGCTGGAGAAAAAACTCTCCCAAGAAACAGTCCTTAAGTGGAGGAAATTGAGTCCGAAAACAAAGTACATACGAACTGTAAATAAAAATCAACACAAACCACACTGCAGTAATTAACCTGACAGGGCTGGAGAAGGAATTGCAGACTTGAAAGCCCAGCAAAACACACACAGTTGGGAAGATGGCAGGAATTCAGACAAGCCTCGACAATACCAGATAATTCACGATTTGCTCCCAACAACTTTGCTGTGTGCAGCCTCCCTTTTTAAACACTGTGTTCCCAGCTGCAGCTAATGAAGGGAATCAAGGCCCTTTCCTCCCCCATAAGCCATGCAACTCATGTTGCTCCCGTCTCCATTCCTCCCTGTGTGCCCTAGGATGAAGGTGGGGGCTGGCTCTTCCTTCGAATTCCCTCTCTTTTGCTTTACCTCTCTCCTGCTCTGCCCAGCCGGACTTTGCCCTTCCCCAGTTTCTTCCACAGCCAATGGAGCCACACTCCCACTCCCTCTCAGCTGCTCGGCCTCCCCCTCCAAATCAGATTCCAATGGGGGCATGACAGTCACTAAATGAACTGTTGTAGTCGAAGACTACCGTATAGCATTAAACCCACACTTTTACACATCCCACATTGGGTTGTGATCTTGGGACCTACGACCTTCTGTAGAATTTATTTCACTTTCAGTGAGAAGTATGTGAAAAGAAAAGAAAAAAACCCACCAAACCTACTTTATATAAGTGTTGGCATTTCCTTCTGGGAAGATGTAAGGGTGCTTCTTCCGGAAGACATGGCCAACCCGACTGCAGGGGATGATTTCCAAGCTCCCGCCACACATCCACACTCGGAAAGAGATTTCTATGAAAGACAGGCTCAACTTCAGATTTTTTTAAACTCCAAGACCAGATGGGATTTTGGCTTATCCCTAACTTTTCCCTTTCTCACATCAAACCGTGCAAACCCATTATTGTGAGCAAGAACTTTTCTGGGCAATCTGCCGTCTGAAGTGCTTTCCAAAGCTCTTTACTGCCAGCCTGATATTTATTAATTTGAACTCTCTATATAACATTGAACAATGATGATATCCAGAGCAGTGGTGGGATTCTAATTTTTTTACTACCAGCTCTGTAGGCATGGCTTGGTGGGCATGACTTGGTGTGTATGGCAGGGGAAGGCTACTGTAAAATCTCCATTCCCACCCCACTCCAGGGGAAGGTTACTGCGAAATCCCCATTCCCACCCCACTCCTGGGGAAAGGTTACTGCAAAATCCCATTCCTTCCCCACCCCACTAACTTGCTTTCGAGCTGTGTTCTCCTGTGCAAGGCAACAAAAGAAGTCCCAGCCGATCCACTGGAACTTGGGACGCAGAGAATAGATGGGGATGGGGCCAGTCAGAGGTGGTATTTGCCGGTTCTCTGAACGATTCAAAATTTCCACTACCGGTTCTCCAGAACTGGTCAGAACCTGCTGAATATCACCTCTGATCCATAGTGAGTTTATAAGCAGGCCCCTTAGTTTACTTCAATTATTAACTACTTTAAACTATTTAACTTACTAAATGTTTTAGACAGGTTTTAGACTAGGTTTATTATTATTATTATTATTATTATTATTATTATTATTATTATTATTATTATTATTATTATTGTTGTTGTTGTTGTTGTTGTTGTTGTTGTTGTTTTAATTATTTTAATTTTTAAATACTCTGTAGTGTGATTGTGATGTGGAGTTTGGGGCACTGTGGTGGAGTAGCTTTCAAATTTCATTGTATTCGTGGAATGCAATGACAATAAAGGTATTCTCTATTCTCAAGAGAAACATGCTAATTCCTAATTCCTGTAATTATTGGGACCCTGCATAATACAGAAACCATGCCCTTTGTGGCAAATCCTGATTTTACTAGCAAGTTGGGGGAAAAAAAGAGAATCAGACAAGGAGGCAAAATGAATATAATTGCAACAATGAGATCGGGGGGGGGGGGGGGCAATAAAAGATGCCAACGTATCGAATCTTGCTTACTTTTGCCAAGGAAAGAAGGAGGAATTCTAACAAAATAATTGAAGATTGGACATCAGGTCAGAATTTACAAACAAGAAACTGACACAGAGTAGAAGTAGGCCAGCCCATCCAATTCTTTCCCCCAGTGTGAAGTCAATTGCCAGAAGGATGTAACCAGTTTTTGGTTAAAGCAGTAAGAAGGCCCATTGAGATGTATCAAAGTACAGACTGACATTACGGAAATAAAGCTGTTTCACCTAAATAGCCCACGCTTAACAGCTAAGTCAGAATCTGGCTCTATTTCAAAAGGTGCTTTCCCATTGTGAAATCTATGAGGTTTCAAATTTTGCTGCAGGTTAAAAATCTGCCTTAGTGTTGCCTGTGTGGATGTTGACAAGGCCCAGAAGAAAAAAATACCTCTCTGTACACTAAATGCCAATCCCATATAGTTTTATTTGAACAGAAATACTATGCATCTCATCATGGTGGGAAGACAAATTTAACAAATAATAAATATAATAATAATGACGGTGATTAAGTAACTTTCATGTCTTTTCTACCTGTCATCCCAGTACCAATTATGGAGTAGAATAATGTAATAGCTGTTCTACCTTTTTAATATTCTTTATCTTTAACTTACTCATGGCTTGTATAGCCTTTCAAACAGAGGATGACTTTAAAGAGAAGATGCATCCTCTGCAAATTAGGATACAGGCTATATTAGTGTTATTATTAGTATTATTATTATTAGTGTTAAGTAGCGGGAATGAGACTTAGGACACCAGCATGATTCCAATTTGTTTTACTTCCGCATAGGACTGAGTGCCGAAGAAACCGTGGCAGCCCTTGTTATAGTCGGGCTGCTCGTGGCTGTGGCCAGTGACAGCTCTTCAAAATTCCCGCCGCCACGGACTGATCAATTGCAGGTAAGTATGCTAATACATAACACCCTTCCCCATCTGGTCCGGTCCAACCAATCTGAGCCTCGCCTACCTTACGTAATCACGTGGGTAGGCAGGGCTTTTATGGGTTCGACTGGACCTCCGCAACTCAGTTGTGGGTTGGCCTCTGGACTGTTCGGACGGATCTGTTCTTCCTTCCTTCCGTCTTCTTGGAAGCTCCTGGAAGGTTGAGATGGCCATGTCGCTCCTGCCAGGAATTTCCTGGCTGGTTGAGTTGGTTGAGCCGCTCCCACCAGGGGCTGCTTTCCCACTATCCTTCTGGACCTGTTCCTGTCTCCCCGACCTGCCTTCTTCCCTGGCCTCAGGTACGTGTTTGCGTTTCCCAATCGGGACTACTGTTAGTAGTGGTTGTTGCGTAGTTGTCAGGGTTTGTTCTGTTATTTCTCTTGTTCATGGAGGGTCTTCCCCTCCCTTTCTACTTGTGTTTTGTCTGTTTGAGGGGTCTCCCCCCTCTTCCATGGGTCTGTTTAGGTTTCCCTTCATGGCTCTAGTTTTGAGCTGGTCTACATGCCTCCTCCAGCTCCTCCTGTCCTCGGTTTCTACCCTGTATGAATGGGGTCCAGTTATCTGGGTCACTTTTTCTGGTATCCACAATGGTTCCTCCATGAGATTTTTTGTGTATACTGGGTCCCCTGTTTGAAATGTGCGGCAATTAATGGAGGAATCTGCTGGTTTTCCTGGGCTATATGTGGGGTGTAGTCTGTGTAGGTGTGATCTTAGTTTCCTCCCCATTAGTAATTCTGCTGGACTTTTATTTGTTGTGGCACTGGGTGTCATGTGCTGAATGCTTAGTAGCTTATCTATCGTTTCTTGTGTGTCCCAGGTCCCAGCTTTTGTAATGCTTCCTTCGTGTAACGTACCATGCATTCTGCCTATCCATTCATGGCTGGGTGTCCCAGCACTGTCAGTGTGTGCCTTATCCCATGTTGTGCTAAAAACTCCTCAAATGTTGTTGCCGTGAATTGTAGCCCATTGTCAGATACAATTAGATCTGGCAAGCCATGTGTTGCAAAAAAATTTCTGAGCTGTCTAATGATGGCTTCTGTTGCGGTGGAGTGCATGATGCTTACTTCTAGCCATTTGGAATAAGCGTCTACGACTATTAAAAATGTATATCCTTTGGTTGGGCCTGCAAAATCAATGTGTAGTCTTGACCATGGTCCCCTTGGTTTTCCCATTCGTGTTTTGGTGCTGTGGGGGGTGTTGGCCTAGATTCCTGGCAGAGTTTACACAATGCCACCCAGTCCCCTATTTCCTTATCCATCCTTGGCCATCATACATAACCTCTTGCCAGGGATTTCATTTTTACAATACCCGGGTGTCCCTCATGTAACAATTCAAGTATGCGTTTCCTTAAAACACCCGGTATGACCACCTGATCCCCCCATAGTACACATCCCTTTAGCATTGAGAATTCTGTTTGTCTATTCCAGAACAATTTGGTGGTCTTGTAGCTCTCAGTTTCTGGTCATCCTTTTCCTACCCAATTTAAAATCCGTTCCAAGGTTTTGTCTCTAGCTGTTTCCCTAGCAATGTCTGCTGCCGTCACAGCTAGATTTTCTAATGTCTCTATTTGTAGTGTAGATGTGGTTGGTGCTGGATTGCCTTCTATGTCAGGTAGAGGGCAACAGTTAAGCGCGTCAGCATGATTTATGTCTTTTCCGGGTCAGTAGGTCAGTTTGTAGTTATAGGCAGCCAGGAATTCTGACCACCTTGTCATTTGTGGTGATAATATATTAGGTGTAGCTTTGTTTCCTGCGATTATGCCCAGGAGTGGCTTGTGCTAAGTGTGCAGGTTCTCCCGTAGATATATTTGTGGAAACATTTTATTCCTGTGACAACGGCCAATACCTCTTTGTCTAGTTGACTGTAGTTCTACTCGGCTTTGACAGAGTCTTTGAATAGAAGGCTATGGGTGCTTCTTTCCCATGGGGTAGTACATGGCTGAGTACAGCACTGACACCGAAAGGTGATGCATTGCAGGTTAGTGTTATTGGAAGTGTCTCGCTGTATTGTATTAGTACGCGGTCTGATGTGATCAAGTTTTTTATCTCCTGGAATGCCCTTTCTTCTCGTTGCCCCCAGGACCAGGTTGCTTTCCTGTCAAGCAACCTGTGTAGTGCTTCCACAATGGTTGCTTTCTGCGGTGGAATATATTATAAAAGTTAATGAGTCCTAAGAAAGCTTGTAGATCGATCGGTTTTATTTGTGGGTCTGGGGGCTTCCTTGATTGCTCTGACTTTATTTTCAATGGGGTGGATTCCTTCACTGTCTATAAGGTATCCTAGGAATTCAACTTTATTGGTGGCTATTTAGCACTTCTCCTTTTTTTACTTTTAGTCCTGCCTCCTTGAATTTGCCTAGGACTTCCCTTAGGCGATCACGTAGTGGTTCTTTGTTCCTGGAGGATACTAGAACATCATCAAAGTATGGTACCACCCCCTTTATCCCTTGCAATAGGCGTTCCATGAAGCTTTGGGACACCTTTGGGCAATGCTGACACCAAATTGTAGTCTGTTATATTTGAATGCCCCCCTTTGCATCACAATTACCTGGGCTTCCACTGTTTTGGGGTCAACGGGCAACTGTTGGTATGCCTGTGCAAGGTCTAGTTTTGCTAATATTCCCCCCCCCCCGGAATGTAATAGATGCTGTACCACTGGAACCGGATATGCGCTTTGTTGTAGTGCATGGCTAAGGGTTGCTTTGTAGTCCCTGCAGATGTGCACCGACCCACCCGGTTTAATTGGTGTAACAATTGGGGTTTCCCACTTAGCATGGTCAATTGGTTCTAAAACCCCTTGTGCGATGAGTTTATCCAATTGCTCATTGATTTTTGGTTTTAGTGCAAAAGGAACCCACCTCACTTTCAGTCTTATGGGGGCTATATTTGGGT